GAGTGAGAAGTGAAGGTGCCTGACCAGGAAGAGGGCAAAACTGAAGGGAGAGAGAATGATTTTCCAGTGGAGAAATACTGAGAAGACATGGGATTTTATCCAGAAGTGCCCAACACTGTATAAAGAGAAATTAAGCTTCATAGGACAGATTTTATGGTGGGATACAGAGCTGATGTAACTCCAGATAGTGGAAAAAGTGGAGTGACAACCAGGTCTATGTAGCAGAATACAGGACAGATAGTAGTGAAAGTGACAAGTAAGTAATATATTGATCTGAGGGAGCAGGAACATGGGGTGGAGGGCCCAAGGGCAGTTGGGTGATGGTGAAAGAGAGGTACTGGTGGCGTCTCCACTGCACCCTTTACCTCAAAATAAGCTATGCAATTTGAGGTAATTTCAAAATAGTTTATTTCGTCATTGGCTGCTGTCACAGTGCCAAATTTCAAAATAAAGCACTATTCCAAAATGTCCCTTAACTCTCGTGGAACTATTTTGAAATAACAGATACGCTCAAAAGACATGGAACAATGATTCTGAGATGTTTTGGGATACCGGAAGTAGCACCGCAATGTAGAGGTAGCCAAAGAGACCTCAGTGCAAAGATCAGAGGAAGCAGTAGTAAAGTGAGAGAATTGGTCTGGGGATGAATCTCAAAGACGACAGTGGCAGCCAGGTGTAAAAACCGGAAAAAAAGGTGTAAATGAATCAGAAAAGTGATGGACAATGGCTTCATGGTGGGGAACAGAGTAACAGAACTGGATGGAGAAACAATGAGGTAAGGGGATGGAAAGAGAGTAACTGGACTCAGTATGACCAGGAGAAGAAAGCTTATAAAAAGCTGGCCCATGGCTTTATGGAAGTGAAGAAGATTTTCTCATCTGTTAGTAGCCTCTGAAAAATGTCACCCAGAGGGATTGTTCTGGGTAATTTACAGTGTGGCCAGGATTGGCTGTTGTTGCCTGGAAATAGTCAAACAGTAAGTGTGATGAGTTTTCTGTCTTCTTTTTGGATATAATAAATGAGATTTATTTGGGAATAGCTTTTTCCAAGAGGACAGATCTGTGTCTGGAGATAGCCTCGTTGTCTCTAGCTGACTCTCAACCAGATTTTCCTCACACTGGACCTAGATGTGCTGAGGGACCTTCCAGTTGCTACCTGAGAGTGAGACTCATTCACTCATAGTTGGTTAAGTCAAGCAATGTGGCGCTGGGCCTGTTGTTGGATGAAACCATTAGCCACTCCCTAGTGCAGGGGTGGGCAAAAGGGCCTCCATGGGCCAGATCCAGCCCACGGAGGCCCTACTGCTCCCCTGCTCCCAGGCCAATTAGGGACTGGGGCAGGGGAGTGCACGAAGCCTCCTCCCATGCTGTCAGGTGCACACGGCGCTTTGAAGCACCGCATGCTGCTGGCAGGGCGGGGGCAGTGTGGAGAAGACCCTAATTGGCTTGGGGGCTGAGGAGCGCGTGAAGCCTCCTCCCGCCTTGCCAGAAGCATGTGGTGCTTTGAAGTGCTGCACGTTGCTCGCAGGGTGGGAGGGAGCGAGGGGAAAAGGCTTCACATGCTCCCCTGCCCCCAGGCCCTGTTTGGCCTAGGGGCAGGGGAGCGCAGGAAGTCTCCTCCCACACCAGAGGCATGGGCACCTAAGAGGAATGTGGGGGAGGCAGGCAAAGGCACTCCCTCATCCCCAGACCAATCATTGTCTGGGGGTGGGGAACCCAGAAGTATCTTGGCTTCAGCCCTTCGCTTGATGTTCCACCCCTTCCAGTGAGGCCCGGTGCCACTTCAAAAATTTCCAAAGCAGCCCCAGGAAAAAATTATTGCCCACCCTTGCCCTAGTGGATCCTAGTGACTTATCCACCCTTTTTACAAGTTGGTGCCCTTCAAGAATAATTCCACATTCATTCATCCTGCAGCTTATTTTGCCACAACCACTTCCCAATCCTGGTGAGGTCCTTCTCCACTAGCATGATGAAAAAAGGGTTTCTAGGGCAGGGATGGAGACCTCAGGCAAGGGCCAAATGAGGCCCATGGCTTGCCTGGATCTGGCCTCCAAGCTTCAGGGCCCCACTCCAGCATTGGAGAGACCCTACTGGTGCTCCAAGCCCCCCACCGCCACACTGTGGGGCTAGAGCACACAGAATCTATTAGCCTGGGCCCCCCTCACCTGAAGTGTGCAAGGGGAATGTGGTGAGTATCTTTTTCCTTCTCAGTTAGGGATCACGTAAGTGAGGGATTGTTTGTTATTTTTTTCTTCTCAGTTGTGTGTGGCCCCCGACTGATTTTTCTATGGATCAGCAGTCCCTGACTCAAAAAAGGTTCCCCACCTCTGCATTATTAGATGGATTGTTCCTGAAAACAGGGCCCAAAGTTTAGCTTATAAATTTAATGGAATGGGATGTCCCTGATTACGTTTGTTATTCAGGTTTAATTAGGCTGTTCTTACAATGAAAACAATATGTCAGAAGCCCCCAACCACTGTGCATTGCTGGGGCAAAAGTTATGCCAGGATCACATGGCGGGGAAAGATGGCTCAGAAGCTTATTCTTCACCCCTCTGTGTAGCCACCAATCTTCCTCTCAGTGAAATGTAAGCACAAATGTCAGTGGGACCAGTGTGGGAGGAAGAAGAACCAGAGAAAAGCTGCAGCAAGCTGCACACTCACCTTGCAAACTGAAAACAAGCCACAAGAAAAGCCCGCAAATAGTTAATGCTCCTTGACGCATTAAGTCCTGCTACTTTGTATGATTCTCCACCACAGTCACAAAAGGAGGGGCTTCTGCCCAAGACAAATATACTTCTTTCATTTGTGATTAAAGTCGCCAGTGAACCCAGACATCCAGAGAAGAAAGCTTAGTAAATAACTATTATTGTCAGTACTAGCATCAACAAACATCTCCCCCTATTCAGTTACCCGCAATTTGCATACATCATTACGCAGACTGTAAACTCATTCAGACAGGCCTGCTTTGTATGGCACTCTGCTCTTGAAATATTGATGTAAGGTTGTGATTTTATTTGTTTAGATATTAGCTTTGAGTCTAAGCTGTTTTCAGAAGGCGGACATTTAATTTACACCTTTTAAATTGCCTGCAGTTCAAAAATTGGAATTAGACTAGTGAGGGCCACAGGGCAAGTTCCCAATAACCCAAACCTCCCATTAGCTGAGGGGTTTGGATATTTCCTGAAGCCTTTACATAGCTGTCTTTACCTGTCTTGTAGAACAGAATAATTTCCATTGATATGGTGAAAGCAACTCTCAGTCTACTGATACAGAGATGGTAACATGGTTAACCACAAAAAACAGCTAAACTGAGCAAAAAGTATACAATGAGATGAAAGACACATTGAAGATTAAAAATACTGACAAGAACACTTAGGGTTCATCTACACTGCGCCATTATTTCGAGATAAGTAACGTTAGTTCGAAATAACAATGCGAACATCTACACAGCCATTCTGTTATTTTGAAATAACGGATGGCTTATTCCAAAATCTGTAAAACTCATTCTATGAGGAATAACGCCTATTCCAAAATAGCTAATTTGAAATAAGACACGTATAGATGCTCCACTGCTGCTTTTTTGAAATAGCATCTCACCAGGGCCATTCTAAGTTATTCCCCCCCAGTGCCTCCTGGGGCTCTAAATCGAGATAGAGCATCCACATTAGGGAAGCCTGCCTCAGACTAATTTTGAGGCTTCCCTGGAGTGTAGATGTGCTATTTCGAAATAAGCTATTTTGGAATAACTATTCTGGAATATCTTATTTCAAAATAAACCTGCAGTGTAGACGTACTACAGAGGGTCAGATCATTGGCTGACTGAACAATTATTTGAACTTCATTTTGAATAGCTAAAATCTGATCTATTGATGTTGTAGTGAGAAACATCCCATATTTTGATGGCAAATAGTGTCATCTCAAGTCTGCTCCTGACAGCCACAAAAACTCAAAATTCCTATCTACTTGTGTTCACTGAGGCAACCAGAAGGAAAGCCAACTTTATGACAGTTCCATAGCAGTGATACAGGAGTGCAACTCTGGTGTCAAAACATTAAGGACGCTAGACAAATACCTTTTTGCAAGCATTAACATCAGTATTGCTGTTGGCTTCATTGGGTACTCTGCTGGTCAGTCACTGTACTGAACACAATAAATAGCCTGTAGTCAAAGGTAGTGTCTCTTCCATTAGCAAGAGGTGCACAGAGAAAAACAGTTACCCAATCCTAAACTAAATCAGCAAAGAAAGGGACAGAACACTGACTTCACTATGACCCAGTTTATCTGGCTCTTATCATGACAGAAACATTTGACTCATAAATAAAACACATTAAAAAAGAATGGTAGTCACAGTGTTGTTGGTACAGACACTTATAAAATATTCTTCATTCAGAAAGAGCCAAAAAGTATTTTTACAGACCATTATAATACTATTTTACTCTTCCGTGGAGTGTTTCATCCGAGTAATCTCACATAAATTGTCAACAGTATTAGTATTGCTGTTTAACATTAAGAAAGTTAGGGCACAGGCAGTTTAAGTTGCCCACATTTATACCGTAAATCAGAGGCAAAGCCAAGAACAGAATGAAGCCTGCCTGTCCTCCTCTAAACATTAGATAGTATTGCCTCATAATATGAAAGTGAGATAGCATTGTCTAATGGTTAAAGTCTGACGAGGAAATATATATGTATGCACATAAACAACACACACACAAACATATACACACACACAGAGCCAAACTGATGTGGACACACACACGGGCACACAGAGTAGTTAAGTAGATTGAAACAGTGGGCTGATCTCTCATTGCAACAGCCAAGAAACAGGGAGTTTGGGAGTAATTTTTCCTCCCATCAGGGGGTGAACAGGAAACTCTTTCTCTGCTTCTAGTACTCTCCGTCCCTCCTTCTCCCTTCCCTCCTGACACACAGACACACAATTTAAACCCTAAGCATACAGCCCCACCACAGATTAGGATAAGAAAAAACAGCTGTCACTCACTCTCTTGTCCTTAACCCCTAGTGGAATCTCTAGATGCCAGGGCAGGCGGCTGTCAGACCCCATTAAAATGCTGCCATCCTTAGCAGGGCAGTGCCTAACAGCATGGCTCTTTACAAAGACAGCCTCCACAGAAGTTGCTCGTCACAGGAAGCAGGCAGCTGCTGCATTTCAACACACTGAGAAGAGAGGAAGAGGAGCTACTTATTGAGACACTGCACCCTTCCTCGGACACTTGTTTCAGTTGTGTTACCTGGAGTTTTTTTCCATCGGCAACTTTCTTCCAGGAGATGTTTCCTTTGCAGTTCTACGGCTACTTTCACTCAGCTGCTGATCTCCTGCTATTTCTCCCCAGCCTCTGTCCACAGATGCCCATGTAAATGGGCAGTGCAGGTCCAAATGGCCTTTCCCAGCCAGCAGTGGCTGAGCAGAGCGGAAGAGAGTGGACAGCTCAACACATCTCAGACTTTGCTGAGGCATCTGTGTCATAATCATTGGAAGGGAGGCTGCAGTGAAGTCTGGGGGCGGGACTGGAGCAAGTCTAACCCGTTTTACCTCTTCTTTCCCACAGCACCCCGCACCCCTCCCTTTAGCATGTGTGTGTGGTTTTGTAGCTGAGTTGGTTTCACTTTATGTGCTGTGCTCCAGCATGAGACAGGTATGTCAAGCTATGGCACATGGAAGGAAGGAGCAAAATTCCCCCACCCTAAGGGAGAACCACTGAAAGAAACCCTTGCACCTTTTTTCATTGCCTTTCCTTTCAAAGTCTCAGAGGAGTAGCCGTGCTAGTCTGTAACTTTAAAAATGAAGTCCTGTGGCACTTTAGGGTGTGTCTACACTGCAAAGTTAATTCGAAATAACAAAGTTGATTCGAAATAACGGCTAATAGCGTCTATACATGCAAACCGCTATTTCAAATTAAATTTGAAATAGCGGAGCGCTTATTTCGAATTTGGTAAACCTCATTCTACGAGGAGTAATGCCAAATTCGAAATAGCTCATTCGAAATAAGTGCTGTGTAGATACTTAATTCAAAATAAGGGGCCTCCAGCCCTTCCCAGTTTCCCCTGGTAGCCACTCCAGGCCAAAACAGGAAAACTCCTCTCCTCTCCCCCAGCCCCGGAGCCCTTAAAGGGGTAAACTCTGGCCAGGACTGCCAGCACTCTGCCCCTGACCCAGCAGCCCCACCAAGAGCCGGGCAGCCAGTGCCAGCCAGTCGTCCCTCGCCCAGTCCCCCAGCACCCAGGAGCCAGCCAGGGGTCGTAGATACCGCGCTCCCTCCTGGACTAGTAAGCAGATCATGGACCTCATTAAGGTTTGGGGGCAGGCCCCCAACGTCCGTGATCTCCGCACTAGATGGAGGAACGTGGCCGTCTATGGCTGCATAGCTGCCACCATGGCCCAGAAAGGCCACAGGCACATCCAGGAGCAGGTACGCCTGAAAATTAAAGAACTGTGGCAGGGGTACACCAGGGCCACTTGTGGCAGCTCCACAGCAGGGGCAGACACCTGCCCCTATTTTGACGCCCTGGACCACATCCTGGGGGGCGGTGCAGTCTATGCCCCCCTAAGGGGCAGCGAGCCGGTACCAGAGGGCCCTGACCATGGCCTCTGTGCAAACACATCGGCTCTGATGGTGCAGGGCACGATCATCCTCACCTCGCAAAGGGGGGCTGGGCTTCACCCACTGTGTCCCCAGGGAGAATGGACCACATCTCTTCCTTCTCCACAGCCGCACCAGCTGCGCGTGCAGGGCGCACCACCCCACAGGATGACCACAACATGGCAGGGGTACTGACAGCAACATCTGGGGACCCTGCGAGCCCTGACCCACATCATGGAGCAGCGGGCACAGGAAGAACGGGAGTTCCGGAGGGAGCTGCTTGCCCAGGGGCGTGCCATCTGTGCCCATCTGCAGACCCTGGTGCAGAGCGTGCTGCCTTGTGTCGCTTCAGTGCCTGCTGCCCCTCTAGCTACCGTTCCTCCTCCTACTACTTCTCCCTCTCCCGCCTCTCCCTCCTCCTCAACCTTCATACCCTCCTCCTCAATCTCCACACCCCCCCACCTCAACCTCCTCCCCATCCCCCCAGGGATGCCGAGGCCCCCACACTTGCCGTGCTGGGAGACATGTGGCCTGATGAGACCCCCACCCCTGAGTGCTGAGCTTCCCCTCCCCTGGCTTCCCCCTTCC